AGAAAATCCAATAATTACTTATACAGAGCATCTTCATATACATGTAGTTAAGTAATATAAACTTATATGCATAATGTGAAAGTATCAGCCAGTAATGACGACATATCATCCAACAATAAGACCTAATCAACATATAATAAAATATCAGCAAACAGAAACAAAATGTTAGCAAGTTATGTCAAAGTATCATCATGAAGTATCAGCATATCAAGACAAAACTTCAGCACGTTATGACAGTAAATCATCATATCACAATAAATTTTAGCATATATTGCCATAGCACCATCAGTTTAGAAGTGTCCACGGATGAAGACAAGGTATCATTACATGATGCACAAGGATCATCATGTGACAACTGAGGCGTTCCATTGAACCACATCGTATATCAATGTTTTGTCCTGTTAAGTTTAAGTATTTTTATTGCTAGATTTTATGGGATTTATAACTGTTATATTTACTTTCTTCGTTCATAGGAAGTTTATAACTGTATAAAGATGTTAAACAAGGATTGAATGTCAGTAAATTTACATTAAGAATGCCTAAAGATTAAAATAAGAAAAGAAAGTTTTGTTTGTGAGTTTTAAGTAAAATGTATAGAACTAAAAGAGCGATAACTCTGGTTCAGGTTTGCTTTTAAAATGTTTTACACTGTTCAAATAGCTTTATGGTCAGTAGCTTAATTACAAAGATTTCTCGTTCGCATTTTTATTTTTAAAAAGTCAATCTTTACAGGCAATTTTATTACCAATAAGATTATTATTTTAAAATTTCGTGGTGAAACATGTATATATGAAAGAAATGCAATTTGTTCTTCTTTTGATTTAATATGGTACTAAATAGAACGTAAATTATCTTTCTTAGATTGTATTTAAAATCAGTTTGATTTCATTTGATATATAAGGATAATACCAACCCCTAGCATACCACTTCCTTTATCCTTTTTACTTTCCTTCTCCTTTTCTCTTCCTCTCTCTAACATTAATGGTCCAGATGAACTGGCTCCACCCTTTTCTCCGTGTGTAATGGTTTCTTTTCGATTGGTGACTTTGGAACCATCTGCTTTGATGATAGTTTCTTCCACTATAGTTTTCGTAATTTTATTGGCTCCACTTCCAGTAGTTTCAGTAAAAGTTCTTGTAGATTTTGATTCCATTCTTCCACTTCTATATTTATCAAAAGTTGTTGCCTTTGAATTACACGCCAATGGACTTGATTCCCTTTTGAGGTTTGGTTCTGAAAAAAGAAAACTGGATTCTTAGTTGGTTCCTATTACTATCGAAGATTTTCATGGCCTCATATGTATATTTATTCATACAAAGTAAGCTTCTAATTAACTATTTCACAGTTTAACCTTTTCTTCTGTATATATATATCTACACTACTAATCAATTTTTACTATATACAGTGTACTTTTCGTACTTAATCAATACAGCTATGCAATTTGCACTCATCAAAGCGTTTTGTCAATATAATATTGTATGGCATATTGCAAAGAGCAAAATGCGTATATAAACCCCATTTCGTTTTATGTGGTTGTAAAATGTTTAAAGTGCTAAGAAATTCGGTATTCTTAATGTTTTAACATTCTCTCTAACGTTAAATATCACTAGTCCACTTTTCAAAGGACTCAATTATAAATTTCATAGCTTAAAGTTCTTAAACTCGTTTCATGGTCCTATCAAAGGGTCATAACATGTTTTACGAAAGAACGTAAACATTGTAGGTAGAATTTTTTATTGAGATCTAGGGCCAGGACACGTAGTAAAGACATGACAGGGAAATCAATAGCCAATAAAATGTTAACTGTTCACTGAGCTATTGACAAAGTATTATCACTGACGCCACCCTTAACTTGTCAACACGTACTATCTGAGTTCTTCGAAGTTGAAAATTTGGGTAGAAAGGGGATGTTAGATTAAAATGAGTCGACGAAAAATATCGTGTAGTTTCATTTTTTTCCTGCGAATTAAAAGTTTTCTTTTAGAAAATATGTTGTCATTTGTCTGAATGTGTTTTATGAATTTTGTTGAAGAAAAAACACCTTATTTGAAAAACGCAAATTTTATGTGCAATTTATATATAATAGTTTTCTTATTTAAAGATTTTGGCGACAGAGCAGCAATTTTACTTGCAATAGCATATAGTGACTTCAATAAAAACCGTGCCTTTTGTGGTGGTCTAAAGCAGTAAATTTTGAAATACTTAAGTGTAATAAAATTTGTATAGCACACAAAAATAGTTTATAAGAAATGGAGCAAATGTCAACGTTTCCCTTTATGTGGAAATTAAACGAAGTAAAAAGATCCTTTCACATGAAATACAAGTACCATTAAAATAATATGAACAGGCGCAATAAAAAAAATGAAATGCTAACCTTTTATCCAAGTTATATATAACATCATCTTAAAATATTTTACCACCATATCTTTTAACAGAAATAGATTACTTACATTGTTTTTATTTCATGTAGTGTCCTATGATGAAATGACTTGTAGGAGACTAAGAATCAATATGACAGTTTAAATCGCTGGCGGATGGCCACCGCCCTTCTATCCCACGCAGATATTTATGATATCAAATATGGGTCAATAAAAGGAAACCTCAAACTTTATAGACAGGTAGAATACTTAGTAGATTCTAGCATTAAAAGCTCTCCAGAACAGGACAGAACAAACATTTGGATTTATAGATTTTTTCAGCATACCTTATAGATTAATAATAAACTTCCCCAAAAATATAAATGTGATCAATATAATTAAAGTATCAGTTAGGCCGTTTGTAAGGTATCTTTACATTTTGAGAACTGTCAAGTTGACACATGGTTTAAATCAACATTTATAGCAAACATTTTGATTTACTTTCTGTGACAATAAATAATTTTTATTTTACACATTAAGTTCATTTTTCATCGAGGAGATTTAAATCTGCAAAAGGGATTTTAACCGTGAAATTATACAACACATATATAAAAAAAAATGGTTTCCATCAAATTTTTCTTGACAAGCATTAATGGCTTTAAATTCTGTCAAAAGTGGTATAAACATCCTCTAACCTTAGACGGACCTCGATCATGTACAAACAAGGGAGTCAGCTTACTTCGGCCACTAACACAGATAACGGCTAAAATTAATCCTTTATTTAGTATTTACTAACGTTCAGATCAATCCACCAAAACAATGAGTCTTCATAACAGAAAGAAAACAGACGATGTTTTACAAGCAAAGCTGAATGCAAAGAACTAGCACCCCCACCCTCTAATTTTAGTTTTTAAAAAATAATACATATTTGTTACAATTTGTTTTGCATAAAATGCAAAATAAAAATAAATAAGAAACGTGTGTTTTGCAAAGCCTTTGTATACAGTTTTCTGGATAATAAAAGTTTAAACATAATACTTAAAAATTAAGTGGAGTGAAAAAAATATTTACAAGCATACAGTGTATATGTATCCTATTTTGCATAAAATAGTAAAGAAGAAAGAGAGCGAAAGATTTTTAAAACAATACAATTCAAATTTTCCAATCAAAAAACTGTGCAAATCTAACTATATAAAGCCTGAAATTACAAATGATAAAACTTGTCACATTATTTCCGTTTAATATGCACACATCTGTTTACATTTGCAATCAATTTGCGGCACGACTTTTCAAATTGCCGGGTAACCTAACCATCCAATATATATTTTATATTGTTGCTTATTTTACTACCTGTCAGCCCATATGGTCTTCTTTGAACACCTGTGGCGGGGGCTGGAACGTTGTCTGTAAACCTTCCAACAACGTTACCAGCAGGCCTATAGTTCGCCACGACAATAATTTTCCCATCTTTCGAACGCGCTCTTCCGACTCCAATTTCCGTGCTTCCTCTCCAGATAACTTGTGTAAAATGTCCTTAAAATAGTCATAAAAAAGTACATTGTCTCTTAAATAGAAACAAAAAAGAAAGCTTTTGTAATTTTATAGTTATTTGCAGCATAAGTGCAGTACTGTGTATCAAACTGCTGTATCGTCAACTAAACGTACAAAGTTTAGTGATATTAAGTATGTCATTTGCCAACATTCAGTGATGAAATTAAGCATATTTTTAAAAGTCATAGCGAGTGAAATATTGCATTTTGTTGAATAAACTGTTATATCTAGAATAAAATAATTTAAAAATATGTTTTACTGACTACAGAAGATAAGAGTCAACTTAAAAATATACTGTATGACAACTGAGGCGACTTTAGCCTTTCCATCATAAACTTTCATTATTTGTGTAGTGATATTCCACTATCATCCGCTTATTATGTTTATGTCTTCCAACTTATTCGCTAATCAATAGCTTGGTCTGAGTACGATCCTTTTTTTTTTTTGTAAAAGCCAGGCATGCTACACAATGATAATTTGATGTTACAGGGATTTCAACCACCTTTTTTTTTTACAGTCAGCATTTCTTAAATTCTATGCATGATCGTTATTATGACCTTGTTAGCAAATACAACTTATCATTGGGTTGTATTTTTGGCTGACTTGTTCATTCTAAATTTTAGATCTTTGTTTTTAATCTAAATACTATGAATTTATCCATTCAATTTATTGGGCTCACGGCGGGTGTGCCCCGTCAGCAGTGTCCTGTCAACAGTGATGCTTACTCCCCCTAAGCACCTCATTCCACCTCTGAAATTTTGAGAGGTTTGTATTGAAACGCCTTTCTCAGATTCTTTTGAGATCGATCACTGTTCAATACCCCCAACTTCTTCTTTTCATAATCATTGACATCAATAAATGGGTAGTACGTTCCAATATTTTTAAAACTTAACATAAAAAAGCTAGATTGTTAGTGATTCACAAACTATTTAATACACATGCATTTTAATGGTGGGGCGTATAGAACAAGGTATACATGTACCCGATGGCTACTGAAAGTAGGATAAAATAAAATCAATCCATAACAAAATTAGGCGCCACATTAGGAAAGTCAATATCCCCATCTGTTAAGGAACAAGGAAACCTAAAATAGATTGTGAATGTAGGGTCAATAGCGCCTTGTTTACATTGTAAGATATTGAAAGAGACTTTTGAGTAGGACGAATGCAATGAATGAAGAGACATTCCTAAGATTTAAAAGGTATTCATGTTAATACAATTTAATGTAATTGATACATAAAATATGTTCAAATCAAATCAAATAAAGGATAAATATCACCTTCAAAGGACTCATATCCTGCGTGTGATGTCTTCAATCTTTTTTTTCAAATATTAAAGTTACTTAATTGTACAGTTTGAAAATTAAACTATTCAATGTACAAAATGTTTACTTCCTGAACATGAGGGATTTTTGTCAGTAAAGGAAGAAATGCATAAAAACTTTAAGGATATCCGATCCTCAGCCAGGAAGGATAACTCCAAAAATTTATAATGAATTTGAAATGCATCAAAATGGGGCTTGAGAGTCTTTTTTTTTTTTTTTGCAACAATTTCCATTGTATTCATCTTCATAAGATTCAAGGTCTTTGGAAGTCTTAGAAAAGATCTTATAAAAATTGACATTTGTACCCTACCAAAGGAGAAGAAATTAATACAGTTTTAGAGAAATAAGATTTTCTTGAATCCTGGTCTTAGATACCAATGCTTATTAGCATGATATGAATGAGAAGTAATGTGTGGTGTATTGCAATGATAGTAAAAGCCTTTTACACTATGTATTATAGAATATATAACGGGAAAAGAAGACAAAAAATACCAAATAAATATAAAATTCATGACAATTTCTCTGAATGCCTGGATACCTATTGTTTTTTAACCTAAAATATGTTTGTTGATCAATTTGCAATTAGAAAATGCATTGCTGATGTTCTAATTCGCTTTTTCTGCAAAAATATTGGACATTTGACAATTTTCCCTATATAATATGATTAACTTTAATCTTTTACTTTAAAGAAATACTGTGGATAAATTTACATAACTTTGTGAATTCAGAGATACTTTTATGAGTATTTTAGATTACTTAACTGCTAATTTTATAAACCTGAGGATCGGACTACCTTAAAACAAAAAGTTACTGTATTTCCCTTATAGAAACAAAACTTTGACAATCTCTTCAGAAATACCCTGTAATGCTTCCTGATAAGCGTCCTATGTTTAATTTGATGATTTTCGAAATACTGTAAGATTACATCTAATAAATTAAGTGGCGTTTCGTGAAAAAGATTAAGATAACGAACAGTGTTCTATCTAAAAAAAATTCAAAAATAATTCAAATCTGTAGGCAGGGCATAAAACACGGACTCCTGGAAACTTCAGAGGTGGGATCAGGTGCCTGTAGGAGGAGAAACTATCACTAGTTACACCCTATGTATCGAGCAAGTAAAATAAACATTTAGTATATGACTTTGTATAAAAACAAAGACCTAACGATTAGTATGAAACAAGTCAGTCAAAATGAGACCCAAAGCTCGTTTACATTTGCTAACAAGGTCATTATAATAATCATGGAATTTACGAACTGTTGACTTCAGACGATGTGAGTAGACTGCCTCGGTCTAAAAATGTTTGTTCTCAAAGCATGGTCTGTAGTTTCGAATAAAGTGTGAGATATAAATACAATATGTAGTGATGGCAGAATATTACATTATCAATAAAAAAAAATGATGATGGAATAGCTGCAGTCATCTCGATTGTCATACAATTTAGTTGTTAGTTAGCCCTTATCATTTTAGTCAGTAAAACATTTCAAGTTCGTTTTGATATTATTGTAGTCAATATATGAATGGAAGTTATTGTTATATTTATTCATGTTGATTGATAAAGCGACGCCAATATATCTAAATGTTCAAATGAAGGTCACAGCAACTTTTTTTCTTCTCGTGTGGAAGTATTCAAATAAATTTTGCTTCATTTAAAGGAATATAAAAACCGATATCAAAAGTTAATGCCTACAGGAATTCCAACAGTTTGTTGGAAGACTTGTTCTCCGAAGACTGTATAAATGTTGTCAATGAGGAACTCCAGCACCCTTTAAAGTTTTATAATTTTAGGTTATTTTTTAGTAAAAAGAGTAAGTTAATATTGTTTATCGCTTATTTATCTCGCCTATTTGCAAGTCCATGATTTTCAATTTCATGGTCATAATTTCGTACGTTGCTTTTTCAAATGTTACATGTATATATGTCCTGTAATTTTTGCAGATTTCTAGTATTTTCACATGTACTCCACATGCTAATTGTATTACCTGCTGAAAGGTTCCTGGGCTCAGTGCCGAAGTTAAAGAATTTTATTTCACTGTACCATTGGTCTGTTACCTCTTGACCTGCAATAGATTGATATTTTTAAGGTCTTCCGTCTTCACGGAAGACCTTATAGTTATTGCTCTGTTTCTTATTATTATTATTATTATTATTTTTCTGACACGATTTCTCGACAACTACTGGATAGAACTATATTAAATTTTCAGGAAAGATGTGTTGTAAGATACTCTTGAAAGTTCCAAGACAGTTTTTGGAAATTCCTCTCTGGTGCCAAGTTTTGGACCATTTTCCTGATTTTAAAACGACATTTTGTCCACGATTAAACTCAAAAACGGAAAAAGGTATCAATGTGAAACTTTCAGAGTTTATAGATGATGATCAATACTTTCCAGGACGCAACTTTTCGTTCGTCGTCAGTACTTCCTGTCGCTACCGGAAGCCAATTCAAAAAGTCCAAATTTTCAACTTTCTTTGTTTTTCAATATTTTTCATTTATTTTTGGAATATTAATAGAGACACTTCTATTTATGCTTACTATATAAGTTGTTTTAATATTGGTTAATCTGAACTCTAGATATTAATATTTGAAAATCTGAAGCGGGCCCAAGATGGCGGCTGTCTCTGTCAACTCCGACATTTCGCGAGTAGGGGCTTATGGAGGCAGCTGAGCGTTTGATTAAACCATTCTGACATAAGGATACATGAAATGCAAAAAACTACTTGGACTCTCACGTAGTAGTACGTTGCAATTCAGTGTCAATCTTAAAAAACTTAATTCACGTTTCACTGCTTTAGTGTTACTGGGCTAGATACGATATGTAATGTGTACAATGTGTTAAATATACTTTCCTAACGCCGAAATAAAATAAAGGTGATAAGAATGTTTATTTAATTAATTTCATTGAAGCTATTGCACCTCTTTAACAGATCAGTACAAAGAAAAGGTGCGAATATTTATGCTTAAAGCAGTATTCCCAATAGCTAAATGGTTCGCGCGTTGCGGAGAAAAGAGAAAAAAAAAAGGCGCATTCACGTTGGCGACTTGGATTCACTCCTTCTTGTGATCAAAATTTTGAATCACTTTTTAGTTCGATTTTACAAGTTTTTTTTTTCCTGAATCGGACGGAAGACCTCTCGTTGCTCGCAACGAGATCGTATCTAGTATTCTTTCTATTTTCGTATTGACCAACTTCTGGAAATGACCTTTGTCCGGTCCATTTCTCCCGAACAGCTTAAGATATGAAAGTTTACTGTGTCGGATATCATAGATCATGACTTGAAGATGTGTTGAACAACATTTTGTCCGTCGTCAATTCTTCCGGTCGTCGCGAAAAAGGGGATTAAAAGTCGATTTTTTAAATTTCTTTGTCTTTCTTTCTATCTTTTTCTGTGATATTCATGGCAGAAGTAAAGGCCCCTATTTGCTGATTTAACGTATAACCAGTTTCTTGATTTGATAAAGAAGAAATTAAATATCTTTGAATGTCTTAGAACTTTTGCAAGCGTAGGTTCAACGTTTTCTTAAACACTAAAAAATATTCATTTCATTTTCTCATAAATAGGCTGCGCGGTTAATACACATGGTGCCATTGTGCAGGTAAGGTCTTCCCCGTGATGGGGAATGGACCTGTAGAAAACCTTCTCTGGTTCCGCAGAGTCGAGGTTTTAGCAAATTAAATGTATGAAACATATATCATGTGTGTGCATCTTATACCCCGCCCCCCCCCCTTTTTTTTTTATTTTGAAAACTGTAAGAAACCTAGCCCCCACCTTTCTCACTTATTGAAATGGATGCTAATTCTGCTTTAATATTTTACATTCTACATAAAATGACCATGACATTTATATAACAAGGCACTCTTCTTAAAGTTAAGAAAATGATAAGGCTTAATTCTATCTACAAAATAATGGTAATTTACAAGTCTATATTCAAGACAGCCCCCCCCCCCCCCTCGGAAGCGCGCAGCCAGGTAGAATTCGCAGATATAACATATACAACTTACAAGTAACGTTTTAAAAGTTTCATTCATAAAAAAAAAATTAGTTCCCCTTATGTCATCTGATAATTTGCTATCATTCATTCTTCCTATGTTTTGTCTGTAGAATTTATAATTATTTCATTAAAAAAAAATTATCTTGAGAAAATAAAGATTGTCAGCTGCATTTATTAGCATCTTGCATTTTCTTGTATATCTTTTACTTGCATATGAATAATGTCATTAAATAAAATAAAAGAAATCAAACTCTATTTCCATCTTTTTTAATTCATTCATAAATCCTTGGATCCGCTCGCAGCTGCGCGGTGGCCTCATCGCTACTGTAAACAATTCATTCATCACGTTGAAAATGTTCATGATTCCGCTAAACTAAGAAAGTTTACACAGGGTTTATCATCTCATATCAAACATCAGACCTGTCCAATGCAGGAATGCTCGAGTTAAAGAGGAAAATTCAGGAATTATTTTGCGTCCGCCATATTTTGACATGAACCTAGGCGACAATTTGTAATTAAGGTCTTCCGTCTTCACGGAAGACCTTATAGTGATTGTATTGTTTCTTATTATTAAGGTCTTCCGTCTTCACGGAAGACCTTATAGTGATTGTATTGTTTCTTATTATTATTATTATTCTTTTTTTGACAAAATTTTGTGCACGCGATTTCTCGAAAACTATTCAGCGGTTTTCAACGAAACTTTCACAAAAAATGCGTTATTACATGAAGTTGTACAGTCTATAATTTGTTTTGGAAAATTCTCTTCTGGTGCCAAGTTATGGACAATTTTCTGATTTAAAAATGCGATTTTGTCGCCCCTTTTTATCGAAAATGGCTAAAGATATAAACTGGAGACTTATTGGAGACAATAGCTTGTGACTTTCTGGTTTGCAGAATTACCCTTTTTGTGTGTCGTCAATACTTCCAGTCGTTACGAGATGCAAATTTAAAAAACCGTATTTTTCGAACTTTTTTGTTTTCCAATATTTTTCATTTATTTTTGGATATGCTAACAGTAACCCTTCTGATAATGCTTGCTATATGATTTGTTTGTAAATTGATAAATCCAAACTCCAAATATTAGCATTTAAAAATCTGAAGCGGGTCCAATATGGCGGTTGTCTCTGTCAACTCCGACATTTGGCAATAAGGGTTTACGGAGTCAGCCGAGCGTTTGCTTGAACGAAGGTAACATAAGGATAAATGAAATGTAAAGGAATACTTGGATTGTCACGTCGTATTTACGTTGCAATTCTGTGTCAAATTAAGTTCTTCTTAAACGTCTTCTATAATTGATTTGGCTGGTTCTCAAAGTAGAAAAAGAAAAGACTAAATGTGCAAATGAAATACGATACCTAATACATGTATCTTCTGATTTGCAACACGGAAAAACAGATCTTAAATCATATTTATAAGTAATAGTTTTTCAAGAAAGAATATCAATGAATACAGTAAGTATAAAACTTGTGTCATATTAAACTAATAGAAAAGACAAAATAAGATAACTTTTTTTGTAAAAAGATCGTTTAATGGGGTTTGTATTAAAATTATTGTCTCGAAGATCTGATTCAAGTTATTGAGCACAAATGGTATCCAATTCCCTGACTGTCGAAAGGCGAGCCATGTTTTTTGGCGAAACAGTATAACCTTTTCATGGAAATTTAACTAATCGGGAGAGTTCACTTTGGGGATAAACAGGAAATTAAAAAAGGTAAAAATCCGTAGCCGTATCACTGCTTTAGTCGTACTTGCTTACATACGATATGGAATTTGTAAAATTAAATGTGTTAAATATACTTTCTTATCCTCGAATTTAAGGCTATAAGAACATTTCTTTATTTCATTGAAGCTATCACACCTATAAGACAGAACATTCCAAAGAAAAGGCGCTAAGATTAATTCGTGGCATTTGGCGCGAAATTATGAATAGTGACTCGCCTTTCATAATTCTAAGACAAAAGCACTGTTATACCGAGGTATATACAAGAAAATTTAGAGCACAGGTCCCAAAAGCGTAATATTTAGCGCGTTGGATTTTTTTGCTGGATTTTCATGTTGGCAACTCAATCCCCTTTTACGTGCAATTTTTGTTTACTTTTTCAGATCGATTTAACGTTTTCTTTCCGGAATCGGACGGAAGACCTCTCGTTGCTCGCAACGAGTTTCACATCTAGTTCTTATTCTTTTTTTTGACAAAATTTTGTGCACGCGATTTCTCAAAAACTATTCAGCGGTTTTTCATGAAACTTTCACAAAATATGTGTCATTATATGAAGTTGTTACATCCGTAGAGAAATTTGGAAAATTCGCATCTGGTGCCAAGTTATGGACAATTTTCTGATTTTAAAATGCGATTTTGTCGCGCACTTTTATCGAAAATGGCTAAGTATATGATATGGAGACTTATTGAAGATGATAGATCATGACTTTCTGGTTTGCAGAATCACCTTTTCGTGCGTCGTCAGTACTTCCGGTCGTTACGAGATGCAAATTTAAAAAAATCGAATTTTCTAACTTTTTTGTTTTTCAGTATTTTTCATTTATTTTTGGTATGTTAATATAAACACTCTCTATACTGCTTACTATCTAATTTGTTTGAATATTGATAAATCTATATTCTAGATATTAGCATTCAAATATTTGAAGCGGGTCCAAAATGGCGGCTGTCTCTGTCAACGCCGACATTTCGCAATAGGGGTTTACGGATGCAGCCGAGCGTTTGCTTGAACGAAAGTAACATAAGGATAAATGAAATGTAAAGGAATACTTGGATTGTCACGTCGTAGTTACGTTGCAGTTCTGTGTCAAACTAACGTCTTCTATAATTGGTTTTGGCTGGTTCGCAAAGTAGAAAAAGAAAAGACTAAATGTGGAAATGAAATACGATACCTAATATCTCTTGTGCATCGCCGAAAAACAGATCTTAAATCATACTTATAAGTAATAAGTAAGTAATTCTCAAAAAATAATATCAATTAATATTGAAAGTTTAAATCTTAACCACTGTTTTTCCTATTCACACTTGTGTCATATTAAACTAATAAATAAGACAGAAATAAGAAAACGATTTTTTAAAGATCTCTTCATGGAGTTTATTTTAGAATTCTTGTCTCAAAGACCTGATTCAAGTTATTGAGCATAAATGATATCTGATCCCTTGACCGTCGTAGGGTGAGCCATGTTTTTCGGCGAAACATTTCGATCTCTTTCGATTAACTAATCGGGATAGTTCACTTTGGGGATAAACAGGAAATTGAAAAAATTTAAGAAATTCATAACTTTTTCACCGCTTTAGTTTTACATGCATATATACAATATGGAATTTGTAAAGTGTGTTAGGCGCGAAGATTAACTCCTGGCGTTTGGCGCTAAATTTTGAATAGTGACCCACAATTCATACTTTTAAGAGAGAAGCACTGCTTCGTAGAGTAGGTGTCCCGATAGTGTAATATTTAGTGCGTTGGAATTTTATGCTGGCGACTTGGGTTCAATCCCCTTGTGTGCAAATCTTTTTTTTTTACATTTTCAGCTCGATTTTATGTTTTCTTTCCGGAATCGGACGGAAGACCTCTCGTTGCTCGCAACGAGTTTCATCTAGTTATCTTTGCTTTTTATTATAATGGTAAAATCATCCTTTGTTGTTGTTTATTTATTACTTACTTTTCAGAGCATTGAATTTATACGAGTATAAGCATAAACATGAAAAAAGCTGTGAAATTAAAATGCATTACTAGTGCGTAGATTTGATTTTTTAAAATTTAATTTATTAATCTAGAGCCCCAAAATAGTATTAGTTAAAGCAATTTTACAAGATAAATGTTTTAGGTTCTATACATGTACATATAATAATCACAATAAAATGTAGCATAAATCACATGCAAGCACTAAATAAAGGCAACACAGAGCCAGTTTGTCCATATAATTTATCAATTTAATATTTTATTCTTATCTTAGAATATTTAGAATTGTCTCTTATTCAAAAGCATGCTCTGACATAAATTTGACCAATAAAAATACAATATCTCATTTTTTCACCAGGGTACGAGTCCTGTGGATTGGAGGACCACTTCATGGCTATATTTTCCCCCAGCCTTTCCCCTCTTAATGAGATGCTGCTGTGTTTGAAGGTGTTCGTCGTGGCCAGAACCTCCGCCCATCTTTGAGCTTGTGTAGATAAATCGGACGCATGCGTCAGAGGCTGCACGCCATGTTTCTTTCTGTATTCATTGTGACTGCGGATTACGTCTTCCGTAAACTGGGAATCACTTTTCTGAAATAAAATAGAATGTCATATAAAGTAGGATATGATTAATATATTGATAGGAGAAGGAAGTTTTCTATGCTTTCTTTTAATCTTTTACAACAAATGGAAGGAACGACAACGGTGTATTTTACAGATCACAATAGACATAACATAGATCTTTTGACTCTTTTGTTTTTTGCTATATAAAAGTGGTAAGGTGAAAACTGTGTTCAAGATTGACAAATTTAAAAAAAAAAAGAGTAATGGCATGTCTAAATTTTAACTGCAATTGTTATTTCTTCATTAGAAAATATCAAATCGAGCTGTACAAATGTATGATGCACAGATCTAATTATTTGTAGAAGTACCTTTTCATACCATATACGGTAACTTCATAGTTCCTTACTATACAAACTTAGCCTTTAGTATAAGTGATTCATCTTAAAAGTACACTGAATGCATTGTTTCATGTTTTCCATACCTAAACTATAACTGTACCATTGCTTATAAATTCAAACCCCTACCTGATTTGAGAGACCAGTCTGCCTGACCTGAACCCGGTAACTGGTCGAATACATTCGAACATGAATTATGTTTTTAATGTCTTTAGGTGAATTTGACACGAAAAAAAAATCGGCCCACTTAAAATAAGACGGAAGTAGACAACGGAAAACTTAATTTTGTTATTATGTCGAGGACCATTAACTCTATGGAAGACAACCAGTGAAATATTAGAAAGGCATTAAGGATGGGACTTTATAATATCTCGTATTTTAATATCAAAAGAAAAGATGATAAATTGTCTGATGTTTCGTCATGAATATTACGCACTTCACATTGTAATCGGTAAAGAGTATTTATTAAATTAAATCGTTGACCATCACGAACTTCATCTATTATTAAAAGTTCATGGATAATTTTTTTCATTGTTGATGCATGCATACATAGCAACTTATTTTCAGCTGTACACGTTCCAGAGCAATCTCTACATACATGTATAATACATTTGCAAGGTAGAGTGAAAAATGAATAATAAAAAACATGCATGTAGTGTACGTTTTTCTATCAGTAATCTCTTTATTCAACTTAGATTACAATGAGACAGAACTCGTACCTTTTTATTTCGCTTCTTTTTTGTTTCAGAGAAAGCAGGATCCCACAACCAGGGAGGTAACCCTAGGTCTTCTTGGACGAAGCGTTTATGCCCCATATGGTTCACGTCATTAGTCGTTCTTAAAAAATGAAAAATAAATACATTCATCTGTAAAATAAAAAAATATATATATTAATTTTTTATAATATGCAAATCGAGTAAATGAATTCAATACTTACAATATTATTTTACTTAATCCCTTAATTTTTACGGATTAAATAAATATGTGAAAAACCCCATGCACAAAGATCTAATTTGGGAGTCACATTTTCCCGCGAAATGTCAGATTTACAAATTAAATTTTAAAAAAAATCTTGTAAATCTGAATATCCACTGGACCCATTAGGCGTGGGGGTTTTGTGTCCGTAATTTATTATTTTTACCTGTATATAACTACAACTTAAGTGTACTGCATTCTACCGTTCTGCGCCCTGGGCAAGGACAGAGCTAAAATGTGCAGTGGAAACAGGTAAAAGGTTATTTTGTAGGATATGCACGTGTTCTTGCTTATACTCGGAATAATAAAGACGAACTTAATTTCTCCAAAAAATCTCATCAGAAACAATGTTTGTTCGTTATTTAATAAATAAATACAATCAAAGGAGAATAATTTTTCATTAATCATACCTATTTAAAGTAACTGAGATGTTGTGGAAAAGGGTGCCATACCCATTTTATAACTCTTTACTTCAATACTGAGAGAGAGAGAGAGAGAGAGGTATGTGTGTCTTATGACTTATGAGGCCTATAATTTACAATGAATGACCTACATTTCGAACTGTAGATTAGAGTGACCTCCCTTTGGAAAACAAACGATCATGGCAAAATTTGCTCAGAAAGTGGTTCTCATAACAGGTATACATAGTTTATTTTTATTAAATCTCTTGTGATATTTAAAAGCGTGATTACAGTACACGTATATTTAGACTACGATATTTTTAAAACAATCTCGATCGCCCTCTTTCTCTTGTGATTTCAACAATATTGAAGAGACGTTGTGATCATCTTTTCATTAGGTGCCAGTGCTGGAATTGGTGAGGGAATTGCTCTACATTTTGCCTCGTTGGGTGCCCAGCTTTCATTGACAGGTAGAAATAAAGAGGAACTCTCCCGTGTAGCTAAGCAATGTCAAGAAAACGGATTGACAGACGAACAGGTGCGATTAAAAAAAATATTCTTGTCATTCATCTCTTTGGATGCATTTTACGTTTTAATTGTATTTGAAATTTTCAAGTTCTCATTTTAGATATTAATACAAGAAGGCGACCTTACATCTGCAGAATTTAGAAGCAAACTTTTGAAAAATACTGTCGACAAATTTAAACGGTTAGATGTTCTGGTGAGATGAAGTTTTATTCGAACTTTCCTTGTGCAATTTTTTTAAGTATAGGATGATGTTGAAAGTGCTTACATCATAAAATTTATTAATCTTGAATCTCCATGTTTCATGATTAAAATCTTAGAGAGTTCAGAGACATGTAAGTTTATCTCAGAATAAATGAAGAAAATGTAGATATAGGAGACTAAGACTAAGAAAGTAAAATGTATAAACAAAACACATTTTATTTATGTATTTATAAAGGTTAACAATGCGGGAACAATGCACTATGCAAAAACCACAGAAACAACAGAAGACATGTATGACACGATGATGGACACAAACACAAAATGTCACTTTTTTCTCTCCAGGGATGCCATACCATACTTGAAAGAATCAAAAGGTAAAGCTAGATTGAATATTTTATTCGTTTTTAATACATAATACAGATTATGTTTTTATGCAATGAAAGTGCATGTACGTCAGTTTACAAGTATTCGGTCAATATCTTCAAGGAATACCAATCGTCATCATTATTCAACATTGTTAGAATATTCAGACAAAAAATTATGATACATGGTCAAGTTTTTATGACAACTCTCTCACAATGTACAAAAACCATATAAATTTATTTATTTTAAAACTTAAATATACGTGGGTATTTAAATGCAAAATTCATAAAATCCGTCACCATTCGGAAATTCAAAATTTATAACATGATACAATGTCGTTTCATGTCTTTACATACTCCTAATTCATGGCATCTCCTCTTCCTCTGTTATTTGGGTTTTCTATTGTAGGAAACATAGTGAATATTTCAAGTATCTGTGGTCCAAAGCCGGTATGTGTTGAGATCGCCTCAGATATGATGTTAACCAGGCAACGAAGAACACATTCACTTTGTATCTTATTATGAGCACTATTTTCAGATGGCGGAGGTCGCAGTATATTGTATGAGTAAAGCAGCCTTAGACATGTTCACACAATGTCTTTCTTTAGGTCAGTAAAATTAAGTTTAAAAAATAAAAGACATTGAAAACAGTAAATAGATCTCGTCTCTAGCTAGAAAATCTAGCAAGAAAAAATGTGTCCAGAAATGACGAGATATAAACGTTTTAGAAATTTGAAACTTTTCACTAAAGTTTCCCCATGGGGTTTTAACAATGAGAGGACTTGATTATATCATTTATAATTCCAGAATTAGCCCCCTTTGGTGTACGAGTTAATGCAGTAAAGTAAGTAAATATATACGTAAAATTCAATAGTAAACCAAGCATTTAATGCTGCTCGTCAGATTTTCGTCTATTTGCTCGTCTATTTTTAATCTATGTACGTTCTTATTCACTAAAGAATTTGACTGAATTTTAGTCCCGGAACTGTGGTTAGCAAGATAGCGAGACGTGAACACTCAGCGTACCAAGAAGATGAAAAGTATCAAAGGGTAAAAAATTCACTTTGAAACTATCAAATAATTGAATTATTAAAGCATTCCAGTGACGTTCGTATTTTTTAAAAACCTATTTACTTGTACTGACGATATACCACTTTTATTTTAATTTTGAAAATCTTGATGCGATATACTGTTATATGCAGAAAGAAATAATTTTTAATTAAAACCATAAATTTGTTCTCAGTTTCTGGAAATGCAGAAATCTAAGCATCCCATTGGACGAGTTGGATTACCGGTGGACATAGCGAAGTCCGTGGCATTTCTAGCGTCTGAGGACGCCTCCTTCATCACTGGACAGATTTTATTCGTGGACGGAGGGCGCCATTGTGTGTCGTCTGCTGTTGCTACAAATGTTAAATGAGATGTTATTTTGTTAATAATGTACCAGGTTCATTAGCAATTAATGTGAATAAAAATGAAAAATAAAATATTTGAATTTGTTCTTGATTATTTTTCATTGAATATTAGCAGTGTTCTTTGACTTAAGATGCGCCATGATCCCAGGGTCAGACTGTTTTTGAATTATAAATCAATACCTTGTAATTAGTCATTGAATGATTGCTTTACTAAATCATTCTAATTTTATACACAAAAACACTAAACTTGAACTTGTGAGATATGAGCATCTTCGCAAGCCAAGAGTTTCCCATCCGAAATCTACTCTGCAACAGATCGGATCGGAAACTCTTGGCTAGCGAAAAAGGATTAAAAATACGGGAGTTTCATTATCCTGGAATGAAATAAAACGTCAGATTTGTTTTCAAAAGTAATTTTCATAAAAAAAAATCAGATAAATATAGTTTGGAAGTACATGTACTTATCAATTCAAAATTGTTTACCAGCAATTTTATCTTAAAAGGACTGAAATAAAAAAAAATTCTGATTTTTGAAATATTAACTTGAAATATTGTCTTTTATTAATTTTCAATCTGAAGTTGAAAATGATTACATGACAAATTATAATTTGTCATGTAATCATTTTCAACTTCAGATTGAAAATTAATAAAAGACAATATATAAATTGCAGTTGAAATAAATCGCGATAAGTTTTGATCGCGTGACGTCTCCATGCTTTAAGAGATCTGGAAAATCCCGTGGATTTTCGTTGATAAGGATCTAAAGTTAAATTGTGAGTACACTGCCGGTCAGTTATTTAGTACATTATTAGTTAAAAAACACCAACGATGTTGACATTTTATGGGAAAATCCTACTTTTAGTAGTTTGTGAGTATTTTTATGGATTGAAAACCCCTTTGTGCAAAGTAACATTTTTGTATACTTTTCGATAATGATTCTTTATTTCTGACCAGGTTCACAACTTGAAGCATTTTTATTTACGAAACACCAGTGCAACACAAGAGGTAATTTTAAATTTTCAGTCTAAACGTATATAACTAGATCTAAGTTTAATAACTTATTCACCAGTTTCTTTTCCATCACAATTTATGTCTTACAATGTTTCTATAAATTATTATCTTTGTGCCTGACCATTTACTTTATTATCCATATTATCTCAACAAGTACCTTCTGTGTCAACTAGTACAATTCTAGTAGTTCTAGTCGACGCGGAAACCAAATTATTTCAGTCTCAACTTTTATCAAAATGGTAAAAAAAAACCCAACAAACTAAAGATCCATTATAAATTTTAAAAGTAATATTTAAAAGATAGTAGTATTCTTCTTCTAAAAGGACAAGAAATGTTTACATACGTATATTTTTTCCGCACTCAGAATAAAATAT